CCTATGTATAGGTCTGTATGCCTGTGGTCTGAGGAGTCCAGTAAAGGGCATCAGATCCTCTGGGTCTGGCATCAAAGATGATTGCAAACTCCCATATTGGTCATGGGATTCAAATCCTGGTCCTTTGGAAGAGCAGCCGGTACACTTAACTGTTGGGCCATCTCTCTAGCCCCTCTTTACTATTTCTCTCTATCTACTAATTTTGGGTTTGGCCTGTTCTTGTCACTCTAAGACCTTAAAGTAAACCTGTAAGTTTTTTATTTGTCTGTTTTGAAATGTCAACATTCATAGCTACAAACTTATCTCTTAGAAATACCTCTGTTGTATCCTAAAGGTTCTGCTAAATATTTCACTTTCATTGAATTCTAGAAATCTTTAACTTTCTTCCTTGATTTCTTTAATGACCACTGATTGTTCAATCTCTACATGTTTGTAGTTCCTATAGTTTTTCTTGCAATTGATTTCCAATTTTGTTCCATAATGATCTGATAAGATATAAGAAATGGTTTTGGCATTCTTGCATTTGTTCAAAATGAGTGCTTCACAGCTTTTAGGCCTTATGAGCTCTTTTGGAAACACTTCCATGGACTATTGAGAAGAATGTGTATGCCACACTATTGGATGGACTGTCCTGTGGTTGACTGTTAAGCCCATTTGATCTATGATGTGGTTTAATTCTGAAAGTTTTTGTTGATTATTCTGATTTTTCTACTAATGAGAGTGGGGCATTGAAATCAGCAAGTATAATTGTGTTTGGACCTCTCTATCCCTGTCTGTCCAGCAATGTCTGTTTTATGTAATTGGGTGGGCCACCATTCTGTGCCCATGTTTTCATAATTCTTACATCTTCTGGATGTGTTGTTCCTTTATCACACAGTGATCTTCTTCATGTCCTCTGACTAACTGAAAGTCCACTTTGTTGAACATTTGTATAGCTGTACACATTTGATTTTTGGTTTCCATTTACTTTGTAAGTTTTCTTCCAAATGCTCCTTTTGTAGTCAGTGTATGACTAAACTTAGAGGACACAATGTAGTAGATCTATAAGTGACCTTAGAAGATGTCTGCACCGGTTCTAAATGGAGAAACCGAGGCCCAGAAAAGTGAAAAGACTGGCAGATGGCATGTGAAGATATTGGTGGGATCAACCTGTTTTGCCTGATGCCTTGCTAAAGCAAATATTTTATTTTGAAAATAGTTCCTGCTCTCTAGGAGGGGCTCTGTTGGCCTTGTGTCACATGTGTTCCACTGTTTGCCATTGTGATATGATATTGTCATCTGCAAAGTTCACACCATGAAATTGGGCTATACAAATAAATACAAACACAGAAATCCATAACACTCAAGTATGTTTACAATTTTTATATTGGTCCTCACTCATTTGGGCTCCAGCTCCAGTTACTTCAGGTTGATTCCTAGCTCAGGCCTACTGCCTATTTGGCTCAGTAGTTGACTACTTCTTGGGGTTTCTGATGCTATTGTAATTCCTGGAGCGGGTATGAGGAAGGCTGTTGTTCTGATCACTTGTGTAGAACAGTTCCTTCTCCTCAGGAGGACAGCCTCATCACATTAAGATGTTAACACTGGGTAGTTAGTGGGTTAGTGGTACTTCTGTTATCACAGCCAAGCACTGGCCTCCAAGGAGGAAGAGAAGGGTTAGGCAAGGCAGCAGGAGAGGGAAAAGAGAGCAAAAGGGAAGGTTGAGGACTTTGGAGACATCAGCTTTAGTTGCCTGTTTGTATCCTAGCACCAGAACTCCAGGAAATGTCTGTACTCATAAGACATGGCTCATTTATGACCACTACCACTTGAAACCATGGGTGGTGGTGATGGCCAATGAGTCAGTAACCCTAGTGTCCCAGCAAGGGCATCTCAAGGCTCTTGCTCCCTGCCCTTCCTAAGCAGCTAAACCCAGGCTTTCTGTCATGGTAGTCTCTGGCAGGAGCAAGAAATGCTTCTCTTGAGGTCTGTCACATTCTGTAATATGGAGATCCTGCTGCTACAAAGACATCAGCCCTTGTTCCTTGTCCCAGTTTCAGACTCTTGGAAAAGACCCTTCAAGAGCTAGCCCTGATGCAGGGTGACTCCCTTCCCCCACTCATCTCTACCCACTCCTTCCCAATTCACAATGGAAACGTTGGGTGACAGTGCTGGTGGGGATGCTGTTTGGACCATCCCAGGAGGAAAGTGAGCCCATGAGATGGAAAACAACAGCTTGTGTCCACGTGGCCACTGCCAGAATGTGTAAAACTTTGTACCTGCAACAGACACAAAAGCATGTGATTTGGTGGAAATCTGGAGAAAGACAAGCTGGGTTCTGGGCTTAATAGTTACATAGTTCTGAGAAATCCTAGGCCTTAGTTTTTCCACATATAAAATGGGTGTGTGGGTGTATTCACTAGGTCTATGCTGTGCTGCATTCTAGGTTTTGGGTGCCTTTAGACAGCTTGTGTAAATGGCTGTGTGTGGGTGGGGCAGAGGTCTGAAG